AGAAATTCCCCCTGAGCCTCCTTTTCTCCAGGCTGAGCCCCCCCAGCTCCCTCAGGGATTCTCCAGCCCCTTCCCATTTCCCTCAGGGGATTCTCCAGCCCCTTCCCATTTCCCTCAGGGGATTCTCCAGCCCCTTCCCAGCTCCCTCAGCCTCTCCAGGAGCTCCAGACCCTTCCCAGACCCAGCTCATCCCCCACCAGATGTGGGATCAATCTCTTGCCAGATGTTTTTTTGGGGAAGCAAAGCCGCCGTGCAGCTCCAGCCCCTGCACCAAAAGCCGCACGAGCATCCGTGTCAATGGAATTTGCATCCCTGGGGAGCAGAGCCGAACCTGCTCAAACTCCCAGCCCTCCTTTTTCCACCTTCTCCCCCCCCGAAAAAAAAAAAAAATAAATTTCCCCCATCAAGGAGAACCCTGCAGCAGCCCCGGGGGAATCCCACATTTGCCGGGATGGGTTTTTGCTGTTACCCAAAAACCAACGGCCTGGGATGCCCCAAATCCCTGCAGCTGCACAGGAAAACGAACCCCGAAAGTCAAACCCCACGAGCTCCGCCCAACTCACGTGGAATCAGTGTCCTTTTCTTTCCTGCGTATTCCAAAGGCCTTCCTGGTGCGTTTTTTCAATCCTGAGCAACACCAAGAAAAGGGAAATTATTAATAGAATTCATGGAATTCCTCCTAAAGGTTCCTCATTGCCTCTGCAATCCATAAAGGAGGTGAAAAAACGGGAAGAGCCAAAGCCGAGGGAATGCCAGAATCCAGGAGGTGTTTGCACTTTTATTTCTGCCATTTCTTTGTTCATTTATCAATTATTAATCTCTCCCAGTGCCTGGGACTCAGTTATTTCCCACTTCATATTTCACACTCAATATTTGCTCCACAGTTAATATTTCACAGGTAATACTCAGTTCACAGTTAATATTTAGTTCACAGTTATTTCCCAATTATTACTTATTTATTTCCCAGTTAATATTATTTCCCACTCCAAATTTGTTTCATTGTTCTTAGTTCCCAGTTAATATTTATTTCATAGTTAATATTTCCCAGTTGATTGTTTCACAGCCAGTATTTTTCCCACTGTCAATATTTCCCAATCAATATTTGTTTCCCAGTTATCAATTCCCAGTTGTTTCCCAGTTATTATTTCCCAGCTAATATTTTTTACAGCAAATATTTCCCGCTCCATATTTATTTCCCAGTTAATATTTGTTTCCCAGTTATTTCCCACTCAATTTTTCCCAATTCATATTTATTTCACAGTCAGTATTTCCCACTCAATATTTGTTTCCCAGCTAGTTAATATTTTCCAGTTAATATTTATTTCATCGTTAATATTTCCCAGTTAATTGTTTCACAGTCAATATTACCCACTCAATATTAATTTCCCAGTTAATATTTGTTTCCTACTCACTATTTCTTTCCCAGTTTTTATTTTACAGTTAATATTAATTTCCCAGCTATTTTTTCCCACTCAGTATTTCTTTCCCAGTTTTTATTTTGCAGTTAATATTAATTTCCCAGCTATTTTTTC